ATTTCGAAATTTGGCGAATTTACTTGATTGTTTGAACTTGTAAAGTTGCAAAATTTCGACTGCAACAGCTGGTCCCCCCAGCTGACTTTTGCGCGACTCTGTTGTTCGTTGTTCCTCCTGCTTTTTGCGGAACGTTTCAGACGATGAATTTCTTTCTTTCTTTCTTTTTTTTTTTTTTTTTTTCCTTTTTTTAACCGTGGACGAAGTAAAAGGGTAATTACGGAAGAAAACACGCCGGCCCGGTATACACGATCGCGAATAATTCTTTTCACGTTCATCGATTGCCATGGGTAATTTGCTGGACAGAACGAGTGTCTGCGTTGGCTTCTCCGGGTCGTAAAGAACCGGTATTTTCATCCAAATCGACTCGGAACGGTAATTTTAAGTAAATTCGATTATTGCGTCGAAGCCAGAGGGGGAACCTTCGTAGTCATTTTTCGCTGTGGGAACGATGAAATTATGAATTGTGAGAGACACGGTGGCTTTTAGATAAAGCAAAGATGGTAAATAGCTGCTTTAAACTAACATATTGATCGACGAATATGAAACGGAGATATAGATACAGATGCACATGTATTATCTAACCAATGATTAAAGAAATGATAATTGAAACGAGCGTTATATGAAAAAAATTAAATGATAATTAAAACAAGTGTTGAAATAAACCTGTACTTTTACTATGAGATAGACATATCACCATGAAACTCAGTTAAAAAGAAAATATTATAAATCTATTTTAAACAGAGAAAGGGAATGAATGAAAGAAATGAATCATTCCACTGAAATAAATCAAATTCAAATGATCACGAAAGAACAGAAACATTCATTCACGACAATGTATTAAGTAAATACATTTATTTGAAAAATATTGTTATATTTATATTTGAGGTATATTTGAAAAATATATATAGTAACAAAGTGAATCAATGAAGATTTAAAGAAATACAAAAAAAAAAAAATTAGTTTAAAAAAATTTGGACAGTCAGTATATTTGAAAAAATATATAGTAACAAAGTTACATCAATCGATAAAGATTTAAAGAAATGCTTAAAGAAGAAAATAATTTAAGAGAAAGGAGAGAAACACATCTCGAAAGAAAATCGAAAGATCTACAGTAACGAAATGACGAGAAAAGGAATTATAAAATTTACAAAGGGCATCGAAATATTTCAAAGAATGAGAATACGCAACGATGAAACTAAAACTCAATGATAAGATTCCCTTAACCGATCGAAGGATGAAATTCAATGAAATGGAAATCAAAGAAAAGGGGATCAAGTAAAAGTAGAAGAAGATGAAAATGAGCAACGAAAGTCGTACGTCGTTGAAAGGACTCGGTGTCGTAAACCGCGCGGTAAAAACAGGGTGGTTGAAGGTACGATGGAAAGAGAAGAAGGGGTTTTTTGAAGGGGGTGCGACGCGTCCGTGCAATCGCAGCGGTGCTATATTTATCGCGCTTTATTTGCATTCCGGTCAGGTTGCACGCGATTTTTCGCGTTTCTTCCTTCTTCTCTTTGCCTCTTTGCCCACCGTGCACGGAGGTGAAACGTGTTCTGGCGACCGCGGGAAAAACATTCCTCCGCATCGACACGAAAATCGCATTCGACCACGGCCGTGACATCGTTCGCGAATTTATGATACGACGTGTCGTTGGCATTCTTGCCGAAAAATGGCCGACGGCAACGTACGCCGTGCTAACGGGCCGTAGAATATGTAGAAAATGGCATTTCACGTTATCAAACGTTTGCAGTTTATAAATTTTGAAAAACCATCAGAGGATATTCTTTATGTTTTTTACTTCCGATACTTTTCTGAAAAGTGATTGTTAAAATCGTTTACTAAATTATTAGACTGTAAACTGAGCTTTATTATCTTTGGCAAATGTATTACAAGGAATTTTAAGGAAATTTGATTGAATTCTTTTCAAATAGTATTTTACAAAAGAAGAATTGACATTAAAGTGTGATTTAACAGGAGAAAATTTCTTGCAGGAATTGTCACGTAATTTTAGAAAATTATCTAAACAATCTGTACCACTTAATTTGCGACGATTTTGTCTTGTCATCATTATAATATATAATATTAATAAAAATGTAAATCTTTTGAAATATTGTATATTATATTAAAAATAACTAAACTGAATACTTCCAAATAATAATACAGTTATCATTATAATTTATATACAATATTTCTCTGCCATAAAAATTATTTAACTCAATCGATTCTACTAGTCGATAAATGTAAAGATTCACAATTTTCAAAATCTTTGGAAGTCTTTGCCACAAAATGATATGAATATTCCAAATTTTTGAAACACATCGATTTAATTTAATTACATAAATGCAACGCGTTAAACATATCGTCACATAACATGACAAATCAAATTCTCTCTACTGTTTAAACGTAACAAAGATTACCATTACATTACAGTCTATAATTTAACGAATAATTATTGTTAATGTCCAAACCAGTGTCCGTTTTAATTATGTTAAATTATCTTAAATCCTATTCAGAAATAACAACTATGGTTAATTATTGATCAAATCAGTGCATAAATTATTTAGCTAAAAGCCGACATTCACCCAATTTCATCACACACCTTCGTCAATCATTTTTCATCCGATTTGCTCTTGCGCAACGAGAATTTTCAATTAAACTCGTATTTTATTGTTGTTCGTGCGATTCCATACTTTTTTATAAACATAACTCGATGAAATGAAAGCTACTATTGAGCAGAAATTAAAATTGAACTGAAAAGTTTTTGTCAAAAAACTTGGTACCTGTTAAATATTACAAGAAGTGTGCTATACTTTAAATATATATATAGAATTTAATCACCTTATTTGCACTTTTTCATCTTGAAATTTCGCATGAATTTGTACACCCACTGTTTATAACAAATTGCAAAATGTCCTCTCGTATTTTTTATTTTATTAATAAACGACCAATGTATCTCCAAGAGCGAAGCGCAACAGCCTGCCTGTATGTTTATAAATAAAGCTAAATACATCGTTCGCGCCAACGATTAATAAAAAGAGCTAACAGAAAAAACGATTAATCGAAAGGTAAAATAAAAAAAAAAAAAAAAAAAAAAAATAAAGGGCAAAAGAACGAGAAAGAGTCTGAGATTCTCGAATTATCCTCGAATGAGGTTTCAATTATCCTGCGTTATACATATTTCGTTGCAGGCCAACTGGTACAGGGCGTCGCAGTATTGCCGATATCACGGGATGCATCTGGCGAGTATAGCGTCGCAGGAGGAAAACGACAGGCTCGAGAAACATATTAAGGACTTCGGCCTTGGACACGAGCACTTTTGGACCTCCGGTACCGATCAGGCTGAGGAAGGCACTTTCTTCTGGATGGCCAACGGTAGACCAATTACGTTCGAAAATTGGAATGTCGGCGAGCCGAATAATTTCAGGTATAATACGATCTTCCTCGTTCGTTGAGAACATCTTTGGACATCAGTGTTCGACGATATAAAAATTTTAGGAGAGCGTCTTTGGTTGTTATTTCTCTTGATATCGCGTTGCAGAATGATGTGAACATTTTATTTGAGCGATATGAAAATTGATATGAAAATTTTAATAAAATAGTTACATGTAATACAATCAGAACCTTGTATAACGCAACAACTATGTATTATATTCATAACATCATATGTGTATAATGTTGAGGAATCAAACAAGTAATTAATTTGTATTAAACGTAGTCCTTTAAATTTTAATTCTTAAAATTCATTCAGACATGCATTTCAATGCATTTCAAAAATTGGCAATTAATTTTTCATTGCTTTATGATGTGAACATTGATTATATTAATTCATGGGCACCACATCATTAAATATATACAACTAATGCTCAATTGTGTCGGTCAAACTTGAAATTAAATTCTATATTGCACAATACAACATTACGAAACGAAGAATAAAAAAACAAGATAATATTTAAGTTTTGACAGTCTGCATTCTCCAAATTTTCGCAAAAGCAAGATATAATTTCTCTGATCCACTTTGTTCTTCGTTCAATGATAAATTTCAAATACCAATCACCCTCGTCCCATCCCCTGCGAAAAGAAAGGAAACTTCCATCATTCTCCATCAACAAGATTGCTACCAACAAGCCTCTAATAAGAGACAAAGCACAAAGGGGGCAAACACACCATAAATTCGATGCATTTTCTTACAGATACGAGAACGGCGAGGAAGAGCACTGCCTCGAGCTATGGAACAGAGACGGCAAGGGATTAAAGTGGAACGACAGCCCGTGCAGCTTCGAGACGTTCTTCGTCTGCGAGGTGCAGTGATCGATCGATCAATCGGCCGACAGGATCGACGGGAAACAGGATCCGAGAGTCGTCGATCCACCACGACTCGATTCGCGATAGATCGACTTTATATCCATCGAGTCATCCTCGTCGACTCCGTTTTCCCGCCGGGGCCTCGAAACAAAATGGATACCTGACTTTCACCACAGCCGTGTGTGTTTCACCCTCCGCGTAATCGAGCGTTTTAAACGCGAAGAAACGATGGAGGATCTCGAAAACGTAGAAGAAATAGCGAAGCCACGACGATTAAGTTTCAGAGCTGTTTCTACGAGGATCTATCGTTGATCCTGTGCCTTGGATTTTCTGTCACCGGAAGTTGTTAAGAACAGACATGTCGTTATTCTGTTGCTACCGCGAGGTCCACTTGTTCAACTTGCTCGTGGAACGTCGTTACGCCGAGTGGATCGGCGGATAAGAACTGACGAAAAGGATCGATCGAGAGACGTGTTGATTATTTTAACGATCTGCTGTTGTTCTTGTAGATAATGCTACTTGCTTCTTAAATCTAGGTATTACCGCGTAAGGACCTGTAATTTTTCATTTAGTCGATGTTGGAGTCGTTTGTCGTTAAGGTGAGCAAAACCTGTGTGTTTGGTTGATAAGCTGAAGCTCGTGTGCTATGTTTTTCTCATTGTCGGAAGAAGATAGATCAAGAAGAGAACCGAAAGTTCAGTCAGAGAGTGAGGGAATTTTGAAATTTTGCAAAGTCAGTAGGACCGATAGCTGTCCAATGTGGAAAGGATTTGCAAAATTTTGCGTTCCTTCTCGCGAGATGTGTTTCTTCTTTTTCTTCTGTTCTCGTTGTCAAACGATCGTTGCGAATGCAGAGAGGAGAAATCAAAAGACTTTGAAGCGTGTGTGTGTCAATTAACGACGTATTCAACAGAGTAATATAAGATACCTTCTATTTTCTAATTAATATCTGAATTGAATAACGAACACATAGAGAAGTAAATTGCGAATCGAAAGTTTCGAACTGCGTCGTAATTGGCGATCGATTCGATGCTAGCCGTGAGCCAGGATTCGCATAATCGGAATTCTGCGCGAACTTCCGCACAATTCTGCGAGTTTATTAGGTTTCGTAGCGGGAAACAGCGTTGTAAATGGCATCATTTGGCGATACGCAATAAAATATAAGTTGCACGTTATTACCCTCCGATATTCCTCGATCATCCTTCGAATGTCAAAATAAAATCATTTTGACTCTGTTCACCTAATATAATAATTCCATGAAATATGCATAATTTACGAGAAAAATTCGATTGTCCATTTCGTGCTTCTAATTAATGCCAGAATTATTGAATTTCGAATCTTTCATTTCCGGAATTACCAGAATTACACAGGTTACTCAATTAAATTAGGTTTTACTAAAATGAATTTTCTGAATTAACTTATGTGTATATTTGTCCATATATTCTACTATTAATGAAACTGAGAATATTAATACAAATTTTTTAAATGTTTTTTATTACTAAATTTTATTTTTTTATTACTAAATTTTTCTGCCAGTCAAGTTTTCATTCGAACTATTATTTATTATTACCAACGTACACGTTCGTAGCTGGTAATCTTTCCACTTGCTTAAACTTGAATGACGCTTCAAAGAGAGTATGTGTGAAAGAGTATTTAATGGAAACTATTAATCGTAAAATTTACTATTATGTGTAATGCTTACATATACTTGTTATTTCGAATTAAGGATTTTCAGACTCGTTTCCAATTTCATACTCTCCATTTTTAACTCTTTTCTATTTCACAAAACGATACGGTTTTATCAATTCATGTATTTTCAACAATTTACACCAATTTTTACATTACCAGTTACTTGTAAATTAATTCGACGATTTCAAATTCGTATTTTCTTCTTCTCGATTCTCAGGGAAACATTTGTGAAGCTGTAAAATAATTCGATATACAACTTTATCGATCCGTATATATCCAACTGTATGTTAAAAGATTAAACTTTTACACTGTCAGTCGCTTATAAATTAATTTCGTAATTTCAAATTCGTGCTTTCTCCTTTCACTTCTCATAGAAAAGTTTGTGAAACAATTATAAAATGACACAACATCATCGATCCGTATATTCGTATAAATGTTTACCTTGCCAGCTTCTTGAGAAGTTAAATCAATAATTTCAAATCTCAATCATGTTTTGCAGCTTTGTTTTCTCACTTAATAGAAGAACTTACAAAATGATGCAACATTTTCAATTGTTCAACATAAATCAACTTAGTAGTTTCAAATTTATACTTTGCGATTCCATTCTCCTCTCTCTCACTCTCTCTCTCTCTCTCCCTCTATTGCGTAGAAAAAAAATTCGTGCGTCCACTTGCAGGATGTTTACGATTCTCGTAAAAGGAGTCGTGACAGTGGCGTCCGGTCGCTGGAAGTTAGAAAAGTTACAAAAAAAAAAAAAAAAAAA